ACGGTGGCTAGAGGGCCAAAAGGGTTTTCAGAATCCCAGATCAAAGGTCAAAAAGGAGCTCAGGACTGGGGATCAGAGCTGGGGCCTGCTCCTCCCCTCACAGTCCATGTGGAGGCAAACATGCCAACTGCTTCGCTGAGCTCATGAATGCTCCAGGGAGGAGGAGACTGGCTCCACCAAGATACAGAGTGTCCTGGGGGCACCCAGGCTCCTTCCCTCCCACTCTGATGGCCAAAATCAGATCTCCAAGTGTCTTTCAAAGTGAGAGAGGCATGGAGACAACCTTCCTTTTAGGGTTCCTTGCACCCTGCATAAGATGGGAGGAGTTCAGAGGGCTGTGACCCCCATGGGAGTGTGCCCTAAGTGAGTTTAAAATGCAAAACTGCACTGGCTCAGAGTATCTCTTGTTAGCACAATGGATGGGGTTGCTGTTCTAACAAGTCATGGATGTTAGCTGTTAGCATGAAATATGGAAGAAGAATAGTAATGAGGTATTTATGCTTCTTTATCCATATATTATGAGGCGGTCTCTCCACTCCCCTCCAAGCAGATCAGGACAAATGGCTTTCTAACTGAAGTTTCTATTATGTTGAAGGCTGGCTCTGCCAAACAAAAGGATTGCAGAAGTCAATAACCATAGACACAAAGTTAGAATACTAGGGAAATGCAGGATAATGATACGAAACTGAATAGCTCTCCTCCCTTCCAAATCAGAAAGAGCTGACTCCACCTTCAGAGTGGTTCGTGCTGCTTATGGGCCAGTTACTGGGAATGTCTGACACCTCTCAATTGGCCTTTTAACCTGATACCATACAATGGTACTAAGGATGTTCAGCCTTCCTCCACTGGTGCTCAACACCCGTGTGGCTCATCTCTGGGTCTGTGGGCCTCGGCATTTCAGCTCACCATTCCAATCCAACCCCTTCCTCCATCTCCAACTTGGAATCTGAGGCCACCACCTTTGAAGGCTGTATTATACCAGAAGCAGTTCCAGTCCCAAACCCATATCAGCTTCCAAACAATTCTGTGAAATCGGCCTAGCCAGCACGCCCCATTTGCACCTGAAGTTCCTGCATCTTCCTTCTCCGTCCTGCAACGGTTGACCTTGAGCCATTCTTCACTGCTTTCTGTTGCTCCCAGTCTCTGACTGCAAGAGTCCCTTAAGTGGGGCATACACAGCACATGCCCTGGTGTAGCATCAGGCAGCAACGCACCCCGGCCTGGGGTGCAGGCACAGCTGCGACTGCCAAGAGCACAGAACAGGTCACAGCCCTTGGCCGAGCGATGCAATTGTTAGTTGACCCAATCTGGTTTGCATAATTCATATTCACAAGTTGGATTTGCCCACTGTTTGGGCAAGGCATTTAAAAGTAGACACCTCGATGTGCCTAGTCATCCAGTTTAAGTCTGAGGACTGGGAAACAAGGGCAAGGGCTTGGTTTTCTTTTTGCACGAACATCCTAACAAGGCTGAGAGCAAATAAGTAGCAATTATCATACCACTCTTGGTAATTTGGCCTGTTGGCTTTGCCAGTCCATTAGATCGTATCATGTAGTTTCCCAGGAAGCTGCTTCCCTGAGTAACTCTTGCACTAACTGCATCAGCCACTAGAAGGCACTCTTGGTTGCTTTTATACTCCATGGAAGGGAGCGCGAATGATGACTCGTTTCATCCCTGCAGCAGGTAGGGCATTCTGCTTAGCAACAGCTACGATCTTTACACTAAGATCTTTACACTGATGGTCGGCAAGCTTCTGTAGTGAAGGGACCGAATGCAGATGTGTGAGGAAGACACCACAGAGAAGCAGCAGACAAGGATTCTGACAGGTCCCATGTCCAGGCTACCACACGGTTCTGCTGTTTTGACATGCCCTTTCCCAGTGTCTCATGGTGGCCATTTGCAGGCCCCAGTCCTCATCCGGTTTTATTTTCCAGTGAGATGGCTGGAATTTGCGCAGCAGGTTTTAAAAGAATGTGCGCTGCCTGCTCTTGAGGAAAACCGACCCACTCCTAAATACTGCAGTTGAACTGAAGGTGGGCAGTGGGGGGAGGTGGAATTGCATCTCTCTTTGTGTGTGACACGGTCATCAACCACCTGCATCTTCATGCTTAAAGGGAAATAATCTTGTTTCGTCCTGAGCCACCCATGTGGCACAATCGAGCTTTCGTACAAGTGCCTTGTGCTTGTCACCGTGCTTCTTCTGCCTTGCAATAAGAGGAGGGCTAATGGGTCGTCCGAGTGTCCAGGCTGGGTTTGTCCTCGAATGACTTTGGCTCAATTAGCCCAGGACTGCAATCTTCTTCTGCTCCTCAACATTGCTCAGCCTCGTTAATTTGGGCCACTTAAGCCTAGCATGTGTTCACCACATGGGCTGTTCATTAGAAAGCCATTTGGAGAAAAAAATAGGGAACAGAACAAGGGCAGCTTCACTCACCGCACCTGGGATGTTAATCCTGGGGATTTATCCTTTGGTGTTGCAGCTGTTGCCCTTCTTTGGGGTTGTGAAGGGCAAATTATTTATGTATGCATTATATAGCTAATTATCCTATAATCAACGTTAGTTTTTGTACACGTACACAGAGGATCCAGAAAAACCTCACTAGCAAAGCACTGGTCAGCATGTGGCCTCCTGGCCATGTTGTCCATTTCAGCTTTGGAATGGATGTCCCTTCCATTCCCAAGTGGGAAATGGATCTGTTTTATTCACTGTCTCAGTGATCTGAAGGATGGTGATCAATGGACCAGGCAGCTTTGGAGAGTGCAGTTGTGCAAGTCAGGAAAAACACAAGTTCACCAAATACTCCAGATTTCATCTTGGCACTCATTTCAACTGGAGTTCATATCAGACTGTGAGCTTCTGTGCCTTTTCTCTTTTGCATGAAAATATGTGCGTATTTTGTGCAATTTTTCAAATGAAGACATCAGTTTTGTGCATTTCTCATCAGTTGTGTGGGTAAATTGTATTTGCATACAGTCTTCAAACGAATGCATTTTTGTCATGTTCATTTCTTCAAAGTACCAATGATATCAACCACCCCCACTTTAAAAAAAAAAAACTGAAAAGCACCTTGCACTCTCAGGGGCCAAGGGCTGAGGCCGCAGGTCGCACCCTGGTCCGCGTTTGGTCCTGCAGGGGCAAACTGGGTAAAAGCCTGATCCAAAACCAACTGAATTTCTCATATATCCCTGCTGGAAAGGCAGAATGGTTATGTACTTCCTTTGTACCACTTTGCTCATAGAAGGGCATGCAAAGGCTCATGGCCAGATCAGACCAAGGCCCTATTCAGTCCAGGATTCTGTTCCCATAGTGCCCACTGAAATGCCTATAGGGAGCCCACAAGCAGGCCATGAGCACAATAACACCCTTCTATATGTGTTCCCCACAAGTGGTCTTAGAAGCACATGGGCGTGGATCCTGGAAGCAACCTATAGCCATCTCGATGAATAGCTGTTGAAAGCCATAGGTTAGCCCTTTAAAGCTGTCCAGGTGGCAGCTGCCACCACATTTTGTAGTGAATTATATACTTTAACTATGCTCCATGTGAAAAAAACTCCTTCCTTTCTGCTCTTAATCCGAAAACTACTGTTTCCGTATATGTTGGGCAGGGAAGGAGTTTGCTTGTCACCAGTTCTATTCCTGTGATCCCATTTTTTCAGAACAATCGACACCACCATTCCAGACAAAATGGCTTGTATCCCATTGGTTTCCTCCACTCATGGGAGACTCTTTGATCCAGCAGAAGCATCCATAAGCAAAGAGGAGAGAGAGCTTCTGAAGGCATCCACTTGACCAAAGGGCCTTCCACCAGTGGGTACAAGTTGCAGCTCATTGTGCTGCAATGTGGCCATTGCAAAGGACCCATCCACCACTTAGAAACACTGAAATTTATCTCACTTGGTCATGGGTTGGCAGAATAAACTAATACTTAATTTTCTTCCTCAGTTCCACAAAATGGCACTGGTTCTGTGGTCATGCCCGTGTGGATAATGCTATTCAGTGGTCTCCTTCCATTATGCAATGGTTGTACATCCTGCTCACCTCACAAGGTCTAAGATTGTTCCTAGCATTACCAGGCCAAAAAAGAAAATAAAAATTGATGGATCTAGCGGGGGCTCTGGCAGTGGGTCCTGGCAGATGCCCAAGGGTGCCCTGTGTGCATGCCAGCTCTGGCAGTATGTGCTGGTGTGTTACGAAAAAGTTTCATGTGCAGCTCTGAACCTAAGATTCTAATTCAACCTTCCCTAGTCAGGTGCGCGCCACCATTTATCTAGGGATGCTGGGAGCCGTAGTCAGACCCAACCGGAAGAACCAGGTCAGGGAAGGGTGTTAGGCAATGGGAGGAATTATTTGGGAGCCTCTTGCTGCTTGCAAAGCTGAGGGGAAGCAGGTGAGGCTCAGCAGGGTAATTCCCCTCCCCCCATGAAATGCCGCTACTGGTTCTGAGGCACTGGGCCTCACTCCTCCACTGTGAGCAGGCTGTAAGTCGCTCGGAGGCTTGTCTCCTATCTGGAACAAAATGAATCTTTCTCCTTGGCATTAAGACACCTTTTATGTGCACCAACCGCTGTGAGATGATCAACGCGGCCTTGGTGGCCAGGGTGGAAGAGGGTTCTGCGTCTCCTCTTTCTCCTCTTCAATCCAAATCACATTATTCAAGGATACCCGCCAGGTCGCTCTTCTGGATGGCACGACTGGACTACGAAATGCAACGCGCCCCCGCCCCCGTTTTAAGGCCTTCTGAGCGCTTGCTCAAGCCAGAGCCGCAGGATCCAGGGCGGCTTATCTGCAAGGATGCCCCCGTTGGGAAAGATCGGGGCCGCAAGTGGCGTTCGCCGATCACGCTGGTCCTGCGAGCGCGGGGCTCGCCCGCCACTTTCGCGGACCGATCGGTCGAGCGCCGTCGCGGAGGCGGGGCCATCGGCAGGGCATTGTGACGTCCAGGGGCGGGGCGGCGCTCAACTCGCCCTATAAAAGCACGCCGAGCGCCGCTTCTTTCGCTCAGTGATTAGGACGGTGGCGCTGTAAGCAGGTGAGCTGGCTCCTGGTGGGCTTCGGGCATTTGGGCGAGCCAGCCAGTCAACCAACCACCCGGCTGGTTGGCCGGCCGACGAGGCTATGGATTTATTGAGGACTATCGCTTACCAGCCGGGCAGTACTGGGGCCGGCGGCGGGGGCGGCAGCGCCGGCGGGGGCGGCGGCAGTAAGATGGGCGAGCAGGCGCTGCTGAGCAAAGCGTGCCACGGGGAGTCTCGGCGAAAGAAGGCGGCGGAGTCGTCGTCATCGTCCGAGCAGCAGAACCATCACCACCACCACCACCACCACTATCCGCACTCGGCCACCGAGATCTCACGGATTATTACTGACCCCACCACAGGAAGACGCTACTGCCGCGGGAAAGTGCTGGGAAAGGTAAAATGCCCGGCGGCGGCGGCAGCTCCATTAGGGATTCAGATAGCACCACGGATCTGCAGGGACTGGTCGCTAAAGCACGAACTGCCTGCGAGTGGGGCAGACTGCGAATCCCAGGAACTCCCCCCACCTTTATCCCCCGATTTGCCCTCCTGCCCCTCATCGCGCTTTGGACCACCCGCTTAGGCTTTCCTTGCGCGCGCACTCGCGCAACCCCCGCAGCTGCTCGCGCTCTGGTGCCTCTCCATTGCTTTATTCCCCTGTCCTGCCTTTTAGAAGGCACTCGTCTCTTCCTCTTCGCTTTCCACCCCGTTGCTTCCCCGCCACGTCTTTCCTTCTTCCAAAAAAATAAATAAAGCATTGCCTGGCGCGCGTTCGTGGTCGGTGCTCCGATTATCAGGCTCGTCCATCTCGAGTTTTCGCGTCCTGTTAACTTGATTTGTAGCTCTCCCCGCACCCCAGCCCCATGTTTATCTGCTATCGTCACTGCCTCTGCGGATCGCCCTTGGCACTTGTCGGAGTAGGCTCCCGCCGCGAAGGCTCCCGCGTCCAGCCTGCCCGAAAGGGCTGCTTGGCATAAGGCGCAAGGAGGGCTGCTCTACAGAGAACTGGCTCGACGGGGGCGAGGGGAAGGTGGGTCTGCCCCATGGATGGCGAGCCTTTGCTGCCGCCCCCCCCCCCGCATGTGCAGCTGCAGGAGGTGTCACCTGCTGTGCCTTTCCTGCTCTCGTGTGGCAACATGCATCTTGCGTGCTTGTCACAAAAGCTGTGGATCCGTATACCGCCTGCTTCCTACACGGCCCAGGTAGAAAAGGGATTCTCTGAGAGAGGCGGATGCTGCAGCTCCTCTGACATTTTTCCAGGTGTTGATCAGGAGCTGTACAGATTTATTTTAAATCTGTGCAGATTTAATCATCTATACAGATTGTAAATAAATCTGGAGTAGAGGGCTCAATGATTTTGTTAGCAACCAAGCTCCAGCCTGCCTGTCATTAATAGAGAAGAGGAGGGTTGGAATCAAGACATATGCAGTCTATCCTTTGGCCTCTGCTCAGAACTGAAGCAGCTGCTCTCCAAATCACCGTGGTGCTCACAGCAATGTGCTTTGCTAGTGGCGACTGTCCTGCTGGTCAGGGCAGCAGAAAGAGGGTACTGGGGCATGTGTGTGTCCTGCTCAGCTGCCGCTTCTAACAAGCTTCTCCGTCTTGTCTCTTCAGGGTGGCTTTGCCAAGTGTTACGAGATGACGGATCTGACCACGAACAAAGTCTATGCTGCAAAGATCATTCCTCACACCCGAGTAGCCAAACCTCATCAAAGGGAAAAGGTGTGTTGCTGGGCTGTGGTGACGCTCCGTGCAGGAATCTCTCTTCTCATGTGTTTGGGTGGCCCTTCCCCTTCCTCCTCCTCTGGCTGGCTCACATGGAAGCCTGTCTTCCCACGGCCTGCCCGGAACAGATGCCAATAACGCTTTTCTGTGCCGCCTTTCCCTCCACAGATTGATAAAGAGATCGAGCTGCACAGAATGCTCAATCACAGGCACATCGTGCAGTTCTACCACTACTTTGAGGACAAAGAGAACATTTACATCCTCCTTGAGTACTGCAGTCGAAGGGTGAGCATCCACTGGGCGCAATCCGGTATCCCTTTGCACGGAATCGGCAGCTAGTGTAAAATGTTTAAAATGTAAAAGGTATCTTCCATAGCTTCTCTAGGCAGTCCTTATTTCTTGCATTGAGCCTGGTTTTTTACCTCTCTCGGGTCTTGCACTTGTCTGCTAAGTGATCTTGTTTTTTGTTTGTTTTGCCCCTTCTCTCATCAGTCCATGGCTCACATTTTGAAAGCAAGGAAGGTATTGACGGCACCAGAAGTGCGGTACTACCTCAGGCAGATTGTGTCTGGATTAAAATACCTTCATGAGCAGGAGATCTTGCACCGAGATCTAAAGCTGGGTAAGTTGACATCCTCTCTGAAGACTTGGCTTGAGTTGAGGTGTTGAAAGTATGGTTCATTTTTCATAAACGGCAGTGCTGTTAAAACTGCACTCATGGGGATTAAGGGATAGGAGCAGCTTCGCTTGGAATGCTTGAGTAATAGCATTAAGTATTCATTCATTTAAAAAAGCCTAGTTATGTGCTTGGCTTCCTTTAAACACGAGTCAGCACTTGTCTTGTTCATCATTACGCTGACTGGCACTCTACAGGCGTTCTCCTTTCTTGTGTCTGCAGGTAATTTCTTCATTAATGAGTCCATGGAATTAAAAGTGGGTGATTTTGGGTTGGCAGCCAGGCTCGAACCACTGGAACACAGAAGAAGGTAAGGATCTGAGAGAGGGGATCATCACCAGAGTGCAACTTCATCTTTCACCACTGGCTCTTGCTTAGAGCAGGATGGCCTCCGGGATTTGCATTTGTAGTTATCTGCACTAGTGAGTGATGCAACGGTTGGCCTGTGACCTCTGATGATTGAGGAGTAGCCTTTATCTTGGCCTCTCTTTGTCAAGGTCAGTGGCTCAGTTCATCCCGATGGTTGCCTGGCCGTGAAAGATTCCAGCCATTTCCAAACAGAACTGTGTTTAGAGAAAGGCAGTGTGGAGTTAACACAGGCAGTGGCTGAGCTGTCATCTAGGGCAGCTGCCTGAGGCTTCAGGAGAAACAGCACGACTGCAGCCTGTAGGTTTTACGCACCCCCTACTCACCATCAGTGGTGCTTCACGGCAGTGTTGCATGACCAAGACAGCTTGGCGGGGGCTCACAGGCAGCAGTAGCAGAAGGTCCCCATGGCACCTGTCCCATAGTGTAGCTGGACGTCACCACCACTTGGCCGTCCACATGCTTTAGTCCAAGCACACCAGTGTGTGACGAAATTGCTTTTGGTTTCACTGACACATCTAATAAGCATGTTTAAAACAGGGCTGTGTAGGGAGCAAGCCTAAACTGAAAAGGCAGCCCATAATCATTGATCTGGTACCTTTTAACCACCTCCTTGGGTTGTCTTTCAGAACCATCTGCGGCACACCTAATTACCTTTCCCCGGAAGTCCTTAATAAACAAGGGCATGGTTGTGAATCGGACATCTGGGCCTTGGGCTGTGTCATGTGAGTATCTCACGGAAATCTAGCTGGACTGCCAGGCCATGAAATGAAGACCTTGATTTACTTAGGACCCATTCACTGCAGACACCTTCACTGTCTCTGCACCAAGTTAAAAATTATGACCTGTATAATGACATAGATTAAGTAGGGTTGCTTATTTTTGTATACTTAGCTTTGTTCGTGCTCCTCATAGGGCAAAAACTTGTGGGTATGGAATCTCAGTCTTAGGAGAACTGGAAATCCTACTAAGATCCGACTTCACAAATCTTTATAAGAATGACACATGAATATAGAGCTGCTGTACATAAAGTAAAACCACTGGCTTGTTCAGCCTGATATAGTAACCAATTGGCTACTGGTTTTTCTAAAATCTAGGAGTGGGGACACCCTCCCCAGGCCAGATAGCCTGGGATCTTTAGCTGGATGTCTGGGATGGAACCTGAAACCTTCTGCATGCAGTCTGAGTCAGTGAGCTACTTGTGATCCAGATGTTTTGGGCTACAGCTTCCTTGGCACCATGGCCAATAGTTGTAGGTCTAACCATCTGGAGGGTCACAAGTTACTCACACCTGGTCTATATTCCACTGATGCACTTTAGGTTTTCTCTAATGCACTTCCCATTCTTTTTAGCCCCATAGGCTAAATATCTGCTAACCCAGATTGTTGAATGTGGTACCATATCCTCTGTATTTACATGGAATTGTGGCTTGTCCTCAATTCTTTTTTCAGTCTTCCAGCCAATAAAATCCATCTAACCTTTTCCAAAAGTAAGTTGGAGAAGGGTGAATATTCTTGGCCAGAGGCTGTTTGTAAGGATCTTCAGTTTAAGCAGTAAATTATTTTTGGCAAAGAGTCAAAGATTCTCTTCCTCTTCTTTCTCTAACAGGTATACAATGTTATTGGGAAGGCCTCCCTTTGAAACAACTAATTTAAAGGAAACCTACCGGTGTATAAAGGAAGCAAAATATTCTTTACCCTCGTCCCTGTTGCCTCCTGCAAAGCACTTGATTGCCAGCATGTTGTCAAAAAACCCAGAAGACCGTCCCAGCTTAGATGACATCGTTCGGCATGACTTCTTCTTACTGGTTTGTAGCATTTTTTCCCTTTTTTGGATAAATGCTGGGGGTCAGCTAGCTTTGTTTAGAATGCAACTGCCAGGTTGCTGACAGTTTTGTGCATCTTGCTTCTGCAGGGCTTCACCCCAGAGAGACTTCCAGCTAGTTGCTGTCATACCGTTCCTGACTTCAACTTGTCAAGTCCAGCTAAGAATTTCTTCAAGAAGGCAGCTGCAGCCCTCTTTGGGGGCAAGAAGGAAAAAGCGAGATACTTCGACACACACAGTACGCGTTTCTTTATGCCTTAGTCCTGTGCAGCACACTCATTGCCTCCCACTGCCTGTTTTGAGCAATGCTTTGGGTTTCCTGATCCTAGCTATGTATTCAGCAGCAAGCACTTAATACTGCATTCTTGCTACTTGCAAAGGCTTGGTTTGCTGCTTCAACAGCTCTGTTTCAGTGCAGAGCTGCCATGAAGCAACACTAGCAGGCTTGCATGCCTGCTGATTGGCTGCAAGCTTGCAGTCTTGTCAGTCCCTTCTTGGTGCTGTTCTGGTGGAATCACATGGTTGGCTTTGAGATCAAATGCATGCAAAGGAAACTAGTTAGTGACTACACTGCAGGAAAGGAGAGGACACTGTATCCCCATCACGGGTACCACACAGTCTTGAGTACCAGACACATGCTAGTGTGCTTTTGGAAGCAGGAAAGCTCAACTTGCATTGATTTCTATTTTACCAGATCGACTTGCTAAAGAAGATGAAGAAATCTATAAACTTAGACATGACTTGAAAAAGACGTCAATCACTCAGCAGCCTCTGAAGCATAGACCAGAGGAGGTAAGCACATGGTTATAGAATAACTGGGATGCTTATGGAATGGACTCACCTGTACTGTCAATTAGGGTTCAACATTGATGGCTATCAAGTGATGCCTGCAGAGAGGCTCAGGCACCATTTCATGACATGGATGGCGTAGCCTTTGGCACCTGTGCCTAACATCTGGGTTTCTCTTGACTGCAGGACTTCACTGCAGGTCATTTAGCATCTATGGTTCTGTGTTCCACACTGGAATGCTGCAGGGCACAACTTCTCATTCTTGGAAGGGCTTTATTTCAGTGCAAACTTGAATGTGTGCAAACTTCATTTGCAGTCACCCCTGTCAAAGTTTCAGCAAAACTTGTAAGGAACTGGATGCTGATAGTCGGGTACCATAGATAAAAAGATACAGTGCTGAAATGAGCAAAAATGCAAAAGAAATGGCACAAAATTCTTTAAGCATAAATGCCCAAATAAAGATTCTTCCACATGGCCAGTCTTCAACACTGTTGGTCATACCAGAGCAGGTGTGGGCAACCTGTGGCCCTCCAGATGTTTTGGCCTGCAGTTCCATCATGCCCCACCACTGGCGGTGCTGATGGAAGTTATAGCTCTTCATAGCTTCCATCATGGTGACTCCTGCAATGGCAGCTTCCACAAGTTGCCCCCCTCTGTGTTAGAGTGACAGAAATAGGTCGGGGCCCAGCTGGTGGTAGCAATTTTCTTCCTGGATGGTCCAAGTTGTTGAAGAGTATAGGTTTCGTTTAGCCCTAATGCTATCCCTCAACAGTTCCCCTGTAAATAAATAAAGGGAAACCACAGCTTGCTGCCCCAGGAGCAAAATGAAATGTGGCATGCTAATAGGCACAGTTGAGTTGAAGGCAGAGATGAGCCAATTGGTATTTTTGCTTTGTCAGTTTTTCATTTACTCATTTGTAAGTCCATCCTCTCCATCCTGTTCCCACATTGGTCCATGAATGTCTTTTAAAAGAATTTTAAATTCTAGTACATGAGTCATTGTGTCCCAATCTGCTTCTCCGTCTGGGATGTGCAAGTTAGGTCAATTCCTTTAAAAATGGGACCCACGTGAACTTTTTCCCATCTCTAACTAAGGGCAAAAAATCTGTCCAGCCTCTCTGCTGCTGTAACTGGTGGAGCTCTTACATGGCGTGTGTCTGGAAGGCACATTGTGCCGTATATCTTTCCAAGGGAATTCCCTGGCAATGGTGAAAGGCTTCCTTTTACACGTGTCCTGGGACATGACGATGGCATCAGAAGCAAGTCATCAGTACACCTTTAGAAATAAAACAGTTGCATTCTTTTAGGTTGTGTAAATAGTGGCCATTGGTTATGCTCTGGCAACTACATAGGATTTTCTGTTTTCCAGGAGATCAAGCCTCCCAGCACTACTGTAGCTAAACCTGGCATGCTTACAGAGACTAAACAAATTGATGCAATTCGAATGATTGTTCGGGGGACTCTAGGAAGCTGCAGCAGCAGCAGTGAATGTAAGTGTGACCTATGATCTCTACCTATGATCTCAAATTGTTTTGAGCAAGTATGCGCATTTAGCATTGTTCCTAAGAATGGGAAATTCATAGGAAGTTGCTATGTTTTCCCTGTGATCATTTCAGACTAACAAAGTATATTTAGGGGGAAAAACTTAACTCTGATAGAAAAACATGGAACCTCCGAAGAGCTCTGGAAACTAAGGGTGCCAAGAATTTCCATAGGCAAGGCCAGCATCAAGGGTAGGCATGGCCAGGTCCATGCCAGGGGACTACATTCCCGCAGGGCCCCACTGCTGAGCTCTCCCTGGAGTTCCTGCTCCCCGCTCAGTGCAGCCTGCTTGCCTCCACTAGAGCAGGAGCAGCAGATGCCACTCCTTGTTTGCTGTCTGCCTCCCAAACAAGCCAGTGACCTCAGTGATGGCACAGAGAGGGGCCATAGCAGCCAGTAACAATGTTGGTTCGAAGAGACTCGCTGAGGGAGGGGGCCATTGAAGGTTTCTTGCCAAGGGCCTTTGGAAGCGATTCCTCCTTCCTCTTCTAGGAGAACCTTAGGAACTGCAGTACTGATTCTGCAGCAAAGATTTTTATACCATCCTTAGTGACGTAATCTGGAAGGGCAGGTCAAAGGAACACTGTAAATACAACACATTGTTGCATAGATGATCACTCTGCCATTTTTCCCTCCCCCCTGCTCAGGCCTCGAAGACAGCACCATGGGAAGTGTAGCTGATACTGTCGCAAGAGTGCTTCGTGGGTGTCTAGAGAACATGCCGGAATCCGACCATATTCCCAAAGAACAGCTGACTGCCTCTTTCCAGTGGGTCACGAAATGGGTCGACTACTCCAATAAATATGGCTTTGGCTATCAGCTGTCGGACCACACTGTGGGAGTTCTCTTCAACAACGGTGCACACATGAGCCTCCTTCCAGACAAGAAGTGAGTGAGTGACTGACTGACTGACTGACTGACTGACTGAGTGACTGACTTGGGGGCAGATGGGTACTTGATCCTTCCTCCTCTCTGCGTAAACTTAACCGGCTTGTCATGTGTGTTTGCTTCCAGAACAGTCCATTACTATGCAGAGCTTGGCCAGTGCTCAGTCTTCTCTGCCACTGAAGCCCCAGAACAATTCATCAGTCAAGTGACTGTTCTAAAGTACTTCTCTCACTATATGGAGGAGAACCTCATGGACGTGAGTTGTGTGAATGAAAGCCTTGGAAGCCATTTTAATAAAGGTCGCCATGTGATCTCTGCTCTAATGAAGTGATGCCCTTTGCCTTTTCAGGGAGGAGATCTTCCCAGTGTCACAGATGTTCGCAGACCCAGGCTATACCTCTTGCAGTGGTTAAAATCTGACAAGGCACTGATGATGCTCTTCAATGATGGCACATTTCAGGTGGGCCTCCTTGCCTTTCCCACCTTCACTGCTCAGAATTCTACCCAGCTTGTTCAGAATCAGCAGGCAGATCTTAAGAGGCCTGCTTTAGACCCTGGATAGGCAATGTAACGAACTGTTGAACAAGATGTTGCAGCAACAACTGATTCTCAGTGTGATCGGATGTCTCCATGAAAGTCGAGGAGCCAGTTGCTTGCTGGGGTTTTTGGCCACAAATGGATATGATTAGTTACAGCTATAGAAGAATAGTTCTGCCAGTGGGTTCCCTAGATGTTAGAAAACAACTCTGTATCAAGCAAAATATCTGTACAATACCTATGGGTGATCTGATATTCCATGTTTAGAAGCTACCTGAGCTCTGCAGTGCATTCAATTCTTGAATGGATATTTCTGCTCAATATGGGCACCATCGTTCTCCCCCTTATGGTAGCTTTTGCCTGCTTATAGTCTGATCTATGCATCCCATATGTGTTGGACTGCATTTCCCATAATTCCCAGGCAGCATGGTTTATGGCCATGTTGGCTGGAAGTAACAGGAATCACATTCAAATTGATCTGGGGGTATCAAAGGTTGAGGGAGGTTGCTATACATGCTTTTGCCAGAAGTAAATCCCACCTGCTGTACAACGCAACGTGGTTCTGCATAAGTGTGCATGGGACAGAGCCAAAGAGATCTCATGTCCTAAGTAGACATAATCCTGAAATGCATGACTACAGGTTTTTGATTAAGTACTTAGGCTGTGAAATATTCTTATTAGCTGTAGCCCAGTATGGCTTGACTGTTCATAGTAGCTAGTTGGTATGCATTCAGGACAAAGACGTATAAAATGAGAAAAAGGAATTCATATTAACTTTAAATCTGCCCTGAGTTAAACCCATCACTGCAAGCTTTTTAGCTGGCAGGTTGATAAGCATGGCCAAATACTGAAGATAGCATGGGTAAAATGTGCTTGTATTTTGAAAGGCTGAAACGTGTATTAAGCTGAAATTAATTAATTTGACAGGTGAATTTCTACCACGATCACACGAAAATCATCATTTGCAACCAAAACGAGGAGTATCTGCTTACATACATCAATGAAGACAGACTATCTACAACATTTCGTTTGACCACACTTCTGATGTCTGGGTGTTCACTGGAGCTAAAGCATCGAATGGAATATGCATTGAATATGCTGTTGCAAAGATGTAATTAAAGAACTCTTCTTAAAAAGCAAAAGGACTTCTCTCACTGAAGTCTACGGCGGAGGCATTGGGGGAAAAACAGTATGTTGATGGATGAGTGAGGCGTAGGGACTGGTACGAACAAAACTTATTCTATGTGCTGGGCTGGGACCAGACATGAAGCCCATGGTCGTCTTGGTTGGATTACTGGTGTGACAAGGAATTCTCTGGAATGTAGCTTTCCTTGGTTCACTCCCTTTTGAAAGAGAGGAGTTGGACTTGAAGCTCTGCGGCAAACCGTTCTGATGCAAGACTGAAACTGTGAATAACACTTGAGGATCTGGGAGGGAGGGGTATCTCGTTGTTGTGGAATGACTGTAAGGGGCAGCTTGTGGCTGCTTAACTGTGAACTATGGCCATAACGTTTTTCTTAATTTCTTCCAAGAAACTGATCACACTTGTGGCTGGCAAAGTGCATTCCTTGTTAATAATTTTTTTTTATTTATTACAGCCCAAAGTGAAGTATTTATTACATGCATTTTTTTGTAACTGTGATTTTTAAATATACCTTTGTTGGCAATAAAGCTTGGGGAAAACCTGAAGCACTGCTTTCAGTATGCATGTGTTTTTACTGCGGTGAAGATTAAATTCAGAGTGCAAAGAAGCACTTGGTTCCAGAGGACAATGGTTGGTCCTTAATTCTGAGATGAGGATGATGGCTGTCGGTGTACTAATATTTTACAGCACTGATGGAAAAAGTTTACCTAAATAAGACTAATCTATTTAGCTAAGGCTCAAACTCTATGGTTTATAGCAGTCTTCCTTCAACCCAGTGCCCTCTGGATGTTGTGGGGTTCAGCTCCCATCAGTCCTAGCCAGCAGCACTTGGAAATGAAGTCCCGCATAAGTGGAGGTCACCAGACTGAAGAAGGCTAATTCATGCATCATAGTGCACATGGCTTATAAGTGACCCCAGCATTTACTTTAGAGTAGTAAGACAGTTTGCCAGAAGTCTTTGGACATCACTGAGACTGCAGTCCTGGGCATGCTTACCTAGGAGCTTTTCCTGTTAATAGGGCTTGATCCTGAATACACAGGACCGAACAGTCATTCATTCTTTGGTGGATCTCAGTACTGCTTTCTAAGCTGCAAGTTACATTGTTAATAGAGGTACTTGGGGCTAATTTCTTGTGATAATGTTGAAGCATGCATTTGTCTTCCCTTCTCTAATCCAACACCTTCCTAATGATGGTGTAGACTACAGCTCCCATCTCTTGCAGCTGAGCAAACCATCTGGAGAAACTTTAGATTGCTGACTCCGGTACTTGTAATGCATGGCCAACTCTTGGGAAAGCAGGAACATAATGGCTACATAGATGTGGCTTTTCTTCTCTTGTTGCTTATGCATTTCAAAAACAAAAGGTGGTTTATCTTCACAGAAACACTAGTGTGAATACTAGAACCTGAGGTCTTCCCTTGAAGCTGATTGGTGGGAGATTCAGGACAGAAAAAAGCCCTTCACACTGTCCTTTGCACACCACACAGTTTAACTATGGAATGTCCTCCCAAGAGATGCAGTAATTGCCACCAATCTGGTCAGCTTTAAAAGGGAGTTGGGTAATTCACAGAGGAGGTTATCAAAGCCTCTATGCTACCTCCAGCATTAGAGGCACTATGACTATGTACAGCAATTGCTGGGGAAACTGGGTTAGAAAGTTGCAGTTGCCCTCATGTCCTGCTTGTGGGTTTCCCATGGTTGGTAGCTGGCTGGTCACTGTGAACAATGCTGGACTAGATGGACCTCGGTCTGATCCAGCATGACTCTTCTTTCGCAAGCCTAGCGATTTCACACTCAGGTGTGCTCTCGGGAGTGGGGCTGCCACCAAGGAAAATTGCAGTTCACTGGCAGAGCCTTTGCTTTACCTGCAGGAAGTCCCAGATTCAATCCACAACTTCTCCAGGCAGGGCTGCAAATACTTCTGCCTGAATGCTTGGAGAGCCACTAGCAGTCAGTGCTGGCAATCCAAGGCTGGGTGGATCAATGACCTGAATTCAGGTCCTTGGAAGAGTATGAATCTCATCCTTCCTGGTCTGCGGGTGATGATGGCAACCTTCCACAGCCTGTTGATATGTTATTAATTAATGTATAAATCTTGCATTCCAGCCAGAGCCACCAAAGGTGATCCACACAATTATAAGTAGATCTCATTGAGCATACATTGTCTGTTTTCTTGCATCAGCAATGTATGCCCAGTGGTCAAGTACTTGCCTTCAACATGGCCCATGAGCCTCAGATTCCCACTGCTAGGAATTCCTTCCCCAACTTACAATATGAAAGTTGAGGAAAACATCATAGCAGGTTCTTGCTGGGCCATCAAGATGAGCATAGCTGCCAGGAAGGCCAGTGACAGACAGTAAAGGGAGGTCAGTGTGTGAATGATCCTGGAGTCAAGTTAGAAAGAATACTCAAGGCTCTGACAGAGCAATTCTGGGCATGTCTGCTCAGAAATAAGTTCTATTGACTTTGCTCATTCTTATTCCCAGTTTGCAGCCTTAAGGGTGCAATCCTAAGTATATTGAGGAAGAAAAAAAGACCTCTCCCAGCATTCCTCAACCGACCAACCTTGTTGGGAAATGCTGGGAGTTACATGGTTTGGTTTGGTTTTTTACACTTAGTACATAGGATTGGACCATAAGAAACTTTATTTTGCACCTAACATATTGTACAAGAGGACTGGGATTTGCTGCTGCTCAAGAGGGTTCAAATCTAGGATGTTCCATCCCTGGTCCTGCCACTGTAATGGTGGTATAGAGTTCCTCTGTGTTCGTAAGAGCTGCAGACTGCCAGTCTTTGCATCTCTGCACCCTTTCAGCCGTGTTTGCTGATGCAGCAGCAGACCCAGAAAAGCTGCCATTTCTCACAATCTGTGACCTGGTTCATCCTTTGTAGCCTTCCTTTCTTTGGCACATGATGATATATAAAAAGGTCAAATCTAGTCAAAAAACATAGATTTGAGATTTATTTGCAGTGCAGTGAAAATACTGTTACTGTCCCTTCAAAAAATGAGCAATATTTTATTTAGGACCTATGCCCTAAGAGCTTAAATATTCCCCACTGCAAAACAAGCAAGCAAACAAACAAATACAAAGCACGCTATTGTTATCCAGAAGCAATATCTGTTCTCCATTCCCTAACTATGTACCATGTCAGCAATTGCAAACAAGGAAAAAATAGCATTAACTGTAATCCATGTGTATTTATATCTTTTCTGGGTGGCAACAAAAGCCCTGCTTTTGTTATAAGCTGATGCTGGTGATACCTGTGTCAGTGCAGCTCCTGATCCTTTGCAGCTTTTATTCTGAGTTTCATAGGAGCTATCCAGGTTTCAGCATTCAATCCCCCCGAAATGTTTTGCACCATGGATATCCCCTATAAAGCTCAGAATAAAAGCAGCAGTGAAGAAGGAGCCTCTCTAACATAGGAAGCACCAGTCATCGTCGTGCATCTCCCCCACCCAATCGTTGTGCTTCGTCTATAGGACAGTTGGCTACAGTAATAAGGAAGAATTGCATGATTCAAGGAGTGGATCTGATAGCCTAAAACATACATTTTCTTGTCCCATGAGTAGGGCTGTGCTCATCCTACCTCATCATGCCATCTTCTTGCTCAGTCTTCTCCTGAGCTGGGGTCCTGAGATATTTGGGGTCCCAGCCACTGGCCATGCCAGCTGGAACTGTTGAGAATTGTTAGTCCAATACAGCTTGACAATACCAGGTTGGGAAAGACCGCATCGAGTGGTGCCTGCAGGTGATCTATTACTGTGTACCCACAGGGGATCATTGAAGGAATATACCTATGGAATGCATTTATAGACTAATATTCTCCCCATTTACTCAGAAGGAAGTCCCACTCCGCTTAATGGAACTTAATCCAAGGAAATTGTGCACAGACCCTCAGCTTCACAGCACGAACCCATATGTCTCTATTCAGATATAAGTCTCATTGGGTTCAATGGGGCTCACTCCCAGGAAAATGGGTGTAGGTTTGAAGCTTCAATTTGGTTTAATATTCATCTAAGTACTCCTAAGGGTACTCAAAAGCAATTTTTTCTATTGTATGTATAATGCTATAGAAATGAAGTAAAGCACAGGATGGTAAAGTTATTCCTGTAACAAGCACTTACTGATGTACTCAGTAGAAATGAAAGCATTATTACATGCAGTCAGTATTCTTCAGTGCAGTGCAAAAAGAGTGTGTCTTTGTTGAATATGTATTCTTTGAAGACTTGTCCTATGAAAAGGTGATCTGTACGAACAGTTCTGCAGTCAACAACAATTCACAAGTCTGAACATAAATGGTAAATGTAACTGTCTGCAATCTGTTCATCAGGTGGCTAAAGAAAAGCAACGGCGCTTAAAAAAAAGAAAGCAGGAGATTTGTCTGTCATTTGAATTGGGGAACTCCATTATCTTCTCTAAATATTGTCAATTCTGATATCTCTTCTAGGGAGATGCTGCAATGTTTATTTTAATTAGTTCATTAATCAATTATTTTGTTAAAAGAGAAACATGACGGCAGAGAGAGAGGGAGAGAGAGAGCCAGACAGGATGTAGCTGCATCTACAAATGTACAGTAAACACCTGCAGCCCACAGGGAGCTGTGAGCTAAATGGCTGCTTATAAAATCCAGTTCGATCTTCTCCAGCTCGCTACAGATGTAATCTTGTGCCCATAATCTGTAGCTTCCTGTCTGCTTTCATGCTTTTTCTGCCTTATTAACTTCAGCAGTGGCAAACATCCCTCTGATTGAATTGCTAGTGCTTAATTAGACCGATACATTCAAATTAAGATGTTAAATGCCATTTAAATATATGGTGTTGAAATCTAATATCATGCTTCATCAATGTTTGGAATTTTCTTTAATAGAACATAAAGATCTGGCCTCTGGGATTTATTCTTTCGGAAGTTGTTTTCTGTTTGAACCCCTTTGCATCCACCCCCACAACAGTTTTGATGAATGGAAGCATCTCAGACATGAATGCTTAGCTGTGCAGCCCTACTAGGCTAGGTAGTCATTAGGGGAAAGGGCTTTTCTGTAAGATTGAATCGCCTCCTCTATGACCTCCTACTGAGGATTAAACTCAACGCTGAAAAAGAAGACTGTGAAGGCAACATCTGTAGCTCATGGAGGAACTCTGTTTGAAGACGGAGAATGAGTCACGGCTATGGATATGTGGTTAATAGTTCCTGAGTTCTGGGTCACTGGTTCAAACCTGACACAGGTCAGTAATTACTGAGGGCTGTTCCCCTTTGCTGATTGCTCATTTGCCTGTGGATATAAGGTGGAGAATTTGGTGTAATATTAAATGGACAGTTTCATGGGCAACACAGAGCCCCTTTGCACAACGGCAGCTGTTAAATGATGACAGTGCATCAGCTTCAGATCCTGCAACATGGTGTAGGTATGGTTCTGATGCTATCATCTGTACATGCTTTCAACCCATTGCAAGTGCACTTGGATTGCTGCTTGGGTCTGGGATTTGCCTTCCGCAAAGGGAAGTGCTCTATTTTGAGGGATCTTCTGTGCCACAGCTCGACCCAT